TTTTAGATATGGAAAGTGAACAAGCGAAAGAAACAATGACAAGATGGGCAAAAAAATTTGGTTATAATATAGAATTAGAAAAATGGCAAGTGTTATGGGAGAGAAACTATAAATTAACAATGTCAACTTCATACAAAGAAAATTTGTATAAAATGTTTTATAGATGGCACCTTCCACCAGCAAGATTAGCAAAAATGTTTAAAAATATGTCAGATAGATGTTGGAAATGTAAACATAACATAGGCACGTATTATCATATTTGGTGGACATGTGGGAAGGCAAAGGCTTATTGGAAAAATATACATATGGGGTTAGAAAAAATATTGGGCGAACAAGTGGATTTTAAACCTGAACTTTTTCTACTAGGCATTATGCCTGAAAAGATTAATAAGCAGAAATTATATTTTCATCAGTAGAACAGAGTTCATTTACTGTACTTTGAAATTCAACTCAAATTCAGAAAATTGGGTGACTATTTAGATATATTTCTTAGAGTTGGAGGACTTTAGTGGGAAGACATAAAAGAAGGTCTATAGTGCAATGTTTTCTAAAGATAGGTAAATGAGAGGTTTTATTTTTTTGTTAATTAGCAGAAAATAAAATTGTTTTTTAAATGTTGGTATTCAAAATTTATGCACATTGCAGAAGTCTGGTTTAATGTACAAATTTCAGTTTACTTAAGTACTGATAGTTATTATCATAGAGCACAGAGTATACAAGTTTGGTTGTTGTATATAATGGGTTTAATCCTGGTGATTCATATTTAAATGGATCCTATTATCTCAGTAGTTCTTAGGAATATTCAGATCTAAGTGCTTAAGAAACATCATTTCTGAATCTAATTATTCTTAATGAAGCGTATCTAAAACTTGTGACTGATAAACAGTTTTTATAAGTATTATTGTAAATTACTAAATTAAACATTTAGTTCTTTATAATAATTAAATATTTTATCAACATAGACTACTCTGTTTAAGTGATTTTAATGATTCATTTCTATAATTTGATAGAACTAAAACATTAATATGTTTAATGCTAATAATATATATTATGATAATGCTAATATAAAAATCAGAGCAAACCAGGATCAGTTTATGGCACCATGAGGCTAGCTTAGATATATGATATGCCAGCTGACATAATTTCATTCCTGTTTAAACTTCAATATTTTCAGTGAAGTAGAGAAAGAACTCAGGTTTTTAATTGGTGGAGACTGAATCAGTTTTATAGCTAAGCCCAGTTTTACTGTTCAGATGTTATAATAGGAGGATATTCAGTACAGGTAGTCTTCAATATACCACCATAATTGAGCCCTAAAAGTTGCTAAGTGAGACAGTTGTTAAGTGAGTTTTGTCCCATTTTACGATTTATCTTGCCACAATTGTTAAGTGAATCATTGTCGTTTTAAATTAGTAACATGGTTGTAAAGTGAATCATTGACCTTGCTTCATAAAAGGTTGCAAAAGATGACCACATGACCTCAGGACACTGCAACTGTCATAAATATGAACAGTTGCCAAATGTTCGAATTTTGATAATCCATGGGGATGCAGCAATGGTTGTAAGTGTGAAAAATGGCCATAATATAGGCTGTATATATAGGCCATAATACATGCCATAATATAGGCTGTAAAAATGGCTTAATATAGGCTGTATCCTGGACTTCACTTATAGATATTAATTAGATTATTTTACGTAAAACAGTATAGGATACAGCTTATATTAAATTATAATATAAAGACTAAAATTATATTAAATATGATAACATCTAAAATTACAACAAAGTAATAATATCTAAAACAGTATCAACAAAGTAATAATATCTCAAATTTAAATAAATTATAGTTACAAAGAATGCATTGCAGGAGATTGAACCGTCAGGGTCCAACAGAACTTCTGTGCTGGTGCACAAAACCTAGAAGAAAGGAAGAACATGTTCTATAGTTTCCACCTTCCAGAATCACAGAAAATACCAATGGTATTTTTTTATATTTACTATCCACTACCGCAGAGGAGAGAGATGACATCGGGCAAGAGAGAAAGCTCACTGATGGCTGCTTGCTTCTAGTTCTGTGAAGTGTAGCTAGCAGCACTGCAATATATCTTGAGTACTGGTGTTAGGAAAGCTAGGGTCTTCCCTAATCTGTTTTTCTCCAGCACTGGAGATGGATAATCCACGCAGTGGGTTGAGACTGTATTCCTGGCCAATCAGATCAGTCAGCCAAAGTTGCCACGCCCCGTCTTGGACCATGATCCTTCAGTCTTGACTGATCTGGCCATGAGACATCTACAACTTTTGGCTCCTGGGCAGGTATAGTTCCTTTCCATTAGGGGGGATTTTTTTTTTTTCTAGTAGCTGAAATTGCTTAGTTTAAAAGCTAATTAGAGATAATTTAATTCAATTTAATTGATCACTCAAAAATTTCCTTGATAAATTGTAAGACTCAGGAAGTCAGATTCCTACAGGGGAATGTAGGAATCTGAATGTAGCCTAGATTTAAATTTAAATTTAAATTTAAATTTAGATTTAAATTTAGATTTAAAAGATTAGATTCAGCAGCCTTGACTCATGTGGATTGAAAATTGTCCTGAATGTTGCAAACCATTGAGGACAGAAGTTGAGTTTTAACCAAAGGTTTATGAAAGTTAGATACACTGTGGAGTCAGCTTATATCATACTTGTCTCCATTTGTAGAAGTACGTTTGAGACCCAGTGTTTGAGACCCAGTGTGATATCTGGAGAGCTACTCTGATAAATTTGGATTGTACTCTCTCCGAGAAGTGAAACACGAAGCTGAGGGCCAATCAGAGTCCCATAAAGGAATTGGGCTAGTGGCTTAGCCTGAAACAGCTTAAGTGCAGCTGGAATGTAATATCCTCCCTTGGCCCGGAAAAAAATAAGGATGGTATTGATAGATCTTTGTTCAGTAGCAGCAGCATATTCATAATGGGCTTTCCTCAAGCCAGTAGCATGCATGTCTGCTCCTAAATAATCAAAACTAGTCACTTGTTCTATTTTATGGCCATTAATGCTCCATAAGCAGAGCTTTGGCTTTTTGACAGAAATCATAATCTTGGTTTTCTGATTTCCAGATTATCATTGCTGCAGTATCAGACCAAAGTTCTCAGAGCTCTTTGGAGGTCTCTTGGTGTTCTGGAAAGATCTACAGTGCTGTCTGCATAGAGTTTTAAGTAGTAGTTAGTAAGGTCATCTCTCTTTCCCTTCTTAAAGATTGGGGACACATCCAGTGATGTCAGTATAGGTAAAGAGCGATGACAAGATTGTAGCCCACCACTCTGCATTATTCTTCAATAGTTCTGACAAAATAGTAAGAAGGTTTTTTTCTGAACTTTGTGAGACAACTTAAATTCTTTATCCATGTTTCATTTTATGATTACTTTCAAAGTTTAATGTAGAATATTTATAGTTTCAGAAATGTGAGACTAGTAAATATGAAGTTTAAAATCTGGTGTGGTTTTTGTTTATGCACCTCAATGTGAAAGATAAATATGCAACCACAAATATCTTATGAGATAGTATTAAGGTTTGTGTATTTACTCCTTTATTAAAAATTTGAATATAATGTAACCATTATCACTAAATTATACTTACTTTTCTATTTTACTATACTTTCATCTTTATAATGGAAGTAAAGTCTTCATCCTGGTTCATCCAAGCCGGGAATAGATAAGCAACATGGCGACTGCTTTGGGAAGAAGGTTACAGTTTGTTGAAGAGGCAGAAGGATGGTTCTTGCAGGAAAGACCAGAGGAAAGAAGGACTGAGCACATGGGCAGTAGGTTTTTATACCCTCTCTAGCCTTTTGTTTGGAATAGTTTCCTGTTCCTGTGGCATGAACTTCGTGGCTATTTCCTGTGTCACGTATTCTGACCTGAGTTTAGATGTGCCTCTCTGGTATACTTGATGGTAATGGGTTAGTCCTATTATGTCCCAAAAGTCATATCCTGCTTCCCTGGAGCTGGGCTAATGACTCTTAGAGTTTGGGTGAGGTATGCAGATTTTAGGTCTTTGTCTTCTGGCTCCAGCTTTCCTGATAGTTTTACATTTGCATTTGTATAGTGCTGGCTACTGCTTGGGGACAGAGAGATTTGGAGCCAGGGTTGGTTTCTGCTTTTAAAAATCCTTTTGAGGAAAAATATATTTTTCTGCCCTTTTAATATTTCCTTCTCTGAGGGGCTCTGACTTCCCACAATAAATTGACAGTTTTGGTTTAATGGTCTGTTTTGATTGGATTTAAGTAAGCCAAATATATATGTTTGTATTTGTGTTCATCAGAGAACATAATGAAGACATGGCCTATGTTGTGCCATGTGTTTATGAACTGATTGTTTTGTTTCCCCAATGTACAGATCTGCACATAGCTCACTGCATTATACTGCATATACCACGTTGTTCAATTTGTGTGTGGGTGTTTTATCCTTGGGGTGGACAAGCTTCTGCCTTAGTATAGCTGTTGGTTTAAAGTGTGCACTTATGTTGTGTTGACTGAAGATCCTCCTGAGCTTTTCTAATATTCCTGCAACATATGGAATGACAATATTGCTTTGTTTATTGTTTTCTTCTTTGTCTGTTATCAAAGAGCTTCTGCTGGGTCTTTTGGGGGATTTGATGAAGGTCCAATTGGGATAACCACATGTTCTGAGGGCTTCCATGATGTGTTTTAGTTCTTTATCTTTCCCATCTTTGCTGGTAGGCAGACCTTCAGCTCGTTGGTGTAGGATTCTGATAACTCCCATTTTTTACTCCAGTGGGTGGTGAGAATAAAAATGTAAATATTGATCCGTTTAATTCTTGTCTTTCAGTGCATTTTAAAATTTCTTCCTATTTGAGATTGATTTTCTTTGTCCTATGTTAAAAGTTTTGGCATTAAAAAGTGATGTCCTTAATCATAATTCATCAAAGTTATATTATAGTCATACATAATGATAATTAAATGCAGCATGTTTGAACTGTTGTTGTTTTTTTATAATATTTATAGGATTACCAAGCCATTGACTTTTGCTGACTGTGTTGGTGATGAACTACCTTTAGGATGGGAAACTGTTTATGATCAACAGATTGGTGTTTATTACATGGACCACATAAATCGTGAGTGACCAATTTTGTTTTTAAGTTATACATATAAACTCAGACTTGGATCTTAAATTTTCATTTATATATAGGCTAATCAGAGTTGGGCAAGGGAGAAAGATACAATAAAATTATAAAATTATTGCTATTATAGATGCTGTCTTGCAATATGAAAAATATGCACAATTCTCATGGGTTTTAGGATTTTCTTTGCATAACTTATTTGAAGATTTCTGTCATGACTTATTTTATTGGAGATAGAACTATTGAATAATATTGGCAAGCTTGATAAGTGCAGGTGTATATGCTCAAATATCTGGATTTTATATAAATTCCTTTTTCCTCCAAATTTTGGATTTAATATTGCTTTTTAAAAATCTTTATAGAGTCTTTCCATTTATGGTAGCCATAGTAGAAAAGCTCAAGGTACTATCTTCGAATTAGATTAGATGGCAGATGGACAATGGCAGCAGAGAGAGGAAAGAGCAGAAGAAAAGACAATAGAAAGTGATGAAAGAATAGGACATGTAGATATGAATATCTTTTTTTTAAAGAATTGGAATTGTTTCATTTTTTCTCCAGCATGATGGATGGAGAATCCACCAATGGGTTAATTCAGTCCTCCTGCCCAATCAGACTAAGTCAGTCAAAGTTGTCACGCCCGTCCTGCTCTGGTACCTCCCAGTTTCGACTTAGTCTGTTCGCCCAGAAGGACGTGACAATTTTGACTCCCAAATTCCTTCTTTTGGCAGGTTTGACTTCGATGAAAAAAATTTTTTCCCTTTCTCTTACCCATTAGTGGATTCTCCTTGGTAGGAAGGAGGCTGCATAGCCTCTGATCATCCCTGCTATCAGGGGATTCTGGCCTCTGTCATCTGGGGCTTTTCCGTCTGTCAGGAGCTCAGCTTATCTCGCGGATGCCATTTTGGGGCCGCTCAACTGTCAAGCTCCTTGGTGGAACTTTTTGCCTCATTACAACCCAGCTACAGCTGGCAGGCCTGGAATCAGCGCGGTTTTCAAGTGCGCGCTGCCGCTGTCTCGATATTTTAGAAAATTCTCACGACAGTTCCCTTTGTTTTCTGTTGGCTGTCTCGGCCGCGGATTCCCCGCCGCTGCTGGAAGGCGCCGCAGCTGCCGCGCCTCTCACCTGTTTGGCGTGGGCCATGAAGTATTTCCTTGACGATCTCACCTAAGGGACAGAGGATAAGTTATTCTGTTGAGCTGAGTGAGAGGGACTTCTTCAGGCGCATCTCTCTGCGATCTGAGGCAGGCGATCCGATCGCCTCAGATTCGTGCTTCCCCACCAAACTCCTTCATCCCGGCAGTGCAGCTACCATTTTAAGGCACCGCGAAACAGTCGTCCTTTGTGGGAGAGCAGGGAGGCTCTTCCCTTGAGGATTTGATAGTTTTGGGAGAGGCTGAGGTTGGTGCGCTACTATCCCTTGCTCGTCGTGGACGCCATTTTGGTTTTCGCACGAGAGCCCCAACCCTCATCCATACTTAGTGTCAACGCTGCAAATATTGTATATTCTTGTTTGACAATATGCAGAACTGTCTGGTATATTTGGGGTTAATACAGAGCAGAAGGGGGTGGGGCAAAGCCTGGGAAAGAAAGAGGAAGGAAACCTTTGACCTTCACACTAATTGGATAATGTGATATATGACACTTAGAAGGCTGTAGGATTATTAGTCCCAGCAGGCACCTGAAAATTGACCAGGCAGACTCTAAATTACAGGAAGTCTCCATTTTAGGTGTCCACAGACGTAGGTCCTTTCTATCTGTTAGCCTCTCAACAACATCACATTCTCTTCTTCAACAGCTCATTATACCAGTTCTTTTGCCACTTAGAACTCCTTCACCTTAGCCGGTCTGCTACTCTGTATTTAGTGGTTGCTAGCTAGACCCTGACCATTGCCACTATGTGAGACACATGAGATCTTGTCACTGTGCCTTAATTTCACCTGATTATCAGCCTGTGCTACACGGACAGTACTGACTTTGGCTCCTCATTCAGTGACGTATGCTCAAACGCGCCCAGCGTGATTCCGGTTTTGCCGGTGGGCCGGACTACGCTGATCCACGTGCACGTCAGTCCCATCGCGGTGGGCAACTGGCGGTTCTCTTGCAGACCGAGATTATTTTCAGTGTTCCACTAGAACCTTCTCAATTCATCATGGCAGACAACACTGAGTCATAGGCTTCTGTTTCAATCAGGCAACCTAAACACAAATCCCCTTGTCAAGAAGCTGCGGCTAAGGTAAAGGCCAAATCTAAGTCTAAATCCGGCAAAAGACCAAGTAGGTCTGCTGACAAGCAGGCCAGTCGTTCACATCGGGCTTTGGAGAAGCAGTTCTCTCGGGCACAACGACTGGCAACAGGGGAGGTGGGCAAATCACCACTTCCCCCATTTGCGTCTCCCGCCATTGACTCACAGTTTCTTGCTCCAACACGGGCGTGGTCCCCGAAGCGGGAGCCTGAGCAGGTCTTTATGCAGACCTTTGGTCAGGAAGGCCCACCCCTTTTTGGGGAGGAACTTGTGCCACAGGGCCCCTCCACGGAACCTGCAGCAACTTTTACCCTGACAGCAGCAGGGCTTCGCCCTTCACAGGACCCCTCGTTTGCTGATCAGCTGCAGGCCATGATATCGCAGGCAGTTCTTCAAGCGATGGCTTCCTCTGGACATCAACAGTCTTCACCCATTCCGAGACCTTCATCAGTTCCAGCCATCTCAACACGACCTACAGTGTGCGATTGTCCGGATTCGATCTCCCCTCCTCATTCCCCGGGATGCGACACTCCCAGCTCTTCTGATTATGACTATACTGGAGATCAGTGGTTGGATTGCGAGGAGCCTTCACAAGAGCCTCATCCCATGGTAGAGCTCTTTAACTCTACACTCTTCCCATCTCTACTTTGCAGGGCATGTGCAACGGGTAAGATGGGCCCCGGAACCTTCCTCTTATCAGGATCCAGATCTGTTATTTTCAGAACTGGTCGTCAGGTGCCAACAGATTCCTTCTCCCCCTCTATTCCTCAAAAATATTCAAAGACAATGGGAATCATCGGATGCCCAACCTTCCCAGAGGGGAGCAGAGCGCAAGTTAGTGGATATGGTCCCTATCTTGAGAGATCTGTTGGAGGTGCCTAAGGTGGACGACTCCCTAGTCCTGCTATTTTCATCCTCCAGGTTACCACGAGATGTCTCTGATGTCCTAAGGGCAGAGGATAAAATAATCTGAGCTCTCCTTACGTAAAATACACCAGGCAGCAGCATGGGCAGCAAAGGCGGCAACCTCCACCTCGTTCTTTGCCAGAATTTCCCTTATCTGGCTAAGACAGCTTCAGGCGAGGATTCCCCTAGAGGAGGTCAGGATCCATCAAGATCTGACCAAAGTGGTGGCGACCTCAGAGTACATGGCGGACGTATCCTTGTACACCGCCAGACATTCGGCCCGAGTGATGGCTTCCAGCGTTGTCACGTGATGACTGCTTTGGCTTAAGAACTGAAGGGCTGAAAGTAAACACAAATGGCGTGTGGCCACGGCTCCATTTAAGGGAGGTCGACTATTTGGAGAGGCACTAACACCCTATCTAGTGGAGAATAAAAAAAAATAAGGTGTTCTCCAGCACTGGAGATGGATAATCCACCAATGGGTTGAGACTGTATTCCTTCCCAATCAGATCAGTCAGGCAAAGTTGCCACGCCCATCCTGGACCACGAGATTCCCAGTCTTGACTGTTCTCGCCCAGCATCCAGACGTTCAACTTTGGCTCTTAGGCAGGTACAGTTTCTTTCCATTGGTGGATTATTCCCAGTAGCTGAGAGTTGGTAGCAAGGATTAAATTCTGTTTAATTGGCCCCTACTAAATTTCTAAATTTTAAAATTTCAAGGGAGCCTAAAATTCACAACCCCACGGGGGAAGTCTCCCTTGATAGAGAGGAAGGAATTCCCTTCCTCTCTATCTTACCTATCTTACCTCTACCGTACTCCTCTCCCTTTACCTAGCTCCCTTCCCTTCAATTCCCTTACCGTTCAGCCGGAGCAGCTGAGCAGCGCGGACGGAGCTTGCGGCTGCAGCTCCAGGGCAGAAGCACGCTTGGGAGGTGTTTGTGAGGGGGGGAGGCGCGGGGGGGGAGAGAGAGAGCAAAGCGCAGGGAAAGCTCAGGCCCTAGCGCGGAACAGCTGACAGAGGGAAAACAGGAGAATTTGCCTTCCGTCTTCACCGGAGAGCTCCGACAGTTTAAAAGGACCGTCATTGTTGGAGCTGCTCAGCGCACACGCGTCCCTTTGTTCTAGTGCACGTGGCATCGCACAGCAAGAAGGAGCTACTGCACATGGGGGGAGTTTTCTCCCGGCAGCATCAGCTGTTTGGGGGGAGATTTCCCCGTCACTCACAGAAAGGAGAAATCCGACCAGAGAAAGCTTAAGAAGAATAGGCAAGATAGCAGAGAGCATTAAGGTAAATAGAAAAATAGCATCTTCTCTTCCAGGACTTGGTGTCTCTCCAACTACAATCAATTAAAACAAAATTAATTGATAATTAATTTAATTAATTCAATTAATAGAAAAAGAAATATTTTTTTAAAAAAATATTATCTGGCTCCACCCGGACCTCAGGTAACCCATCAGTGGACTTGTATGTATCTGGGTTATTATTGCTTGGATTCTGGGCACCCCAAATCGTGTGCCTGTCCTTATCTGCAGTAGACCGGGCCGGTTCCAGGCATTCCCATTAGTGTGCCTGTCCTTACCCGTGTACAGCCATCAATTCGGGCCTAGACACAGAGGCTGTACACGGGTAAGGACTACAGGCATCCCCTGTAGTGTGTCTGTCCTTACTCAGCGTGTATACTCTCCTATTACCGGGGTTCCCCTCTCGTGACCCTGCGTTATTGGAGAATGGAGGAAGCTCTCATGCCCTCTACAGGAGCCCTACCTTCCACGTCAGGAGCACCCGGTTCAGAGAGCTCCTACAATACAACGGCCTCTAAGGCCAGATCTACAAAAAAGTTGTC